ATACGTTCTAGCGTTGACCCTACCCAATTAGCCATCCTTAGAGATAAGTATAGGATCCCCTACAACATCGAACTTCTTTCTCCCTCTCCTGATGAGCGAGCTTGCTTCCCTAGGCAGGGTTGCGTCGCCATCAGTGAGTACCTCTTGAAATCTTGCCTTAGCCTCCCCCTTCATCCTTTTTTTCGAGCTGTTCTTCGACTGTATGGGTTGCCCCCACCCAACTAGCACCTAATGCCTGGGCCCAGCTAGTGGGCTCATATATCCTTTAGAAGGAGACTTCCTTGGGCGAGGACATGTCCCTCCACGCCTTTCAAACGATCTACCAGCCTAGGACCTTGGGCAAAGGGGATTCTAAAGGGTGGTACTCGTTGTTTCCATGGGGGACACTCCCCTTTCGTGTTGGGTCTTCCCACCTCCATCAAGGGGTGGAAGGAGACCTGGTTCTGGGTTCGAAAAAAGTGGCATGAGTGTGAGGGTGGCACTGTCCCTTATGTCAAAGTTCTGACCTCATACTCCGAACCTAGTAAGTGTCCTTTCGATAATTTGTTTATTATCTTATGTTGAATTTGTTTCTGATTCCTGATCAATTTCTTGTAGGGTCGGTTGAGCGCTTCGAGCTTGATAAGGCAACTAGGATATCTTATCCTAGATCTATCGTCGACCGTCCTCAGAACGTGACTTCAGCCGTTTGGTCGTGCCCAAGCGATTTTACGAAGACCTTGGTTTGATGGCTCGACATGGTAAGACTTTCCAATTTAATAATTTGTACTAGTTTTTCCTGCGTTCATTTGACTTTATGCCTCATTGGACAGTAGGCAATTTCGAGAAGAAGAAGATCCCCACCCCTGATATGGCTACCATTCTGGTCGCCACCTCTACCGCTGGCCTTAAAAACATGAAGCCCTCATCTGCTGGAGGAAAGCAGGTGAGGGACAAAATAGAGAGGGTCAGCAGGGAAGCTGCCCCTCAAGAGGAAGGGCGTCCATCCCTCATGGATAGGGAAAAAATGTGGCTTCTAGGAGCCAAAGAAGAAGTTCATAGTATCCATCACTGGGGTGGACAGCTCTTCTGACGTCCCTTCTTCTCGCTCTGAGGTGCCTGCGGAGCAAAAACTATTGGCAACATCCATAGCTGCGACCACTGGGGGTCAGAAACGGCCAGCCTCCTCCGAGCCTCAGAATCAAGAACTTGCTAAGAAGTCCAAAACTTCTAGCGACACCGTCTCAGACCGCACCTAAGGTAAGCCTTTGGCCAAGAGAACTGACGAGTTGGAGCCCTTACCCTCGCCCTTCTACCTCCAAAATTTCAGATGGCCACAATGACGTTCCACCAGTTTTGGACTGTAAAGTGGCAGAATTTTGTTGAGACAAGTGATGCCATGGATGTCGTTGCCACTATGGTGGCCCAAGGGTCAAGATCCTTTGGCATGGCCCTGGAAGTGGAGGCTCTCTTTAAGACGCTGTGGGCAAGGCTTCCCAAGCAGAAGAGTTAGCCAATAAAGCCCAATTTGAGGCCGAGCCGTGAAAGAGAAGGAGGCCGAGGAGTCAGTGAAACTCGCTTGTGCCTTGGCAGAAATTGAGGCTTTGAAGAAAGAGGTCCACGTATCTCAAAGTGAGGTAGCCTCATTGACAAAGCGAGTTGAGACTTCTAATGCTCATCAGAAGATAACATCTGAGACCCTTGAGAAGGCTAATAAAGAGAAGGGCGAATTGGCGGGAGAGGTGGGGGAGCTGACCTCCCGGGTGGAAAAGTTGAGAGTGGAGGTTGAGGCAGTTCTTCGCGATGGTAAGCGTGCTAACAATGAGGCTGAGGCTTGCGTTTTGGCCAACTTCCACTTAATGGAACATTATCAACGATTTGGGTTATACTGGAGGCGGTATACCTATACCGAGATCGTCGAGTGGATAGAGGTGCATACCCAGCACGACACTTCGGGGCTTAAGGCAGAGTTCCTTGGTAAAGATGAAGAGGAGGAAGGAGAAGCTCAGACGCCAGCAGATTTGAACTAACCAATTGACTTGGATGAAGAAGCTGCTGAGGGGGCTGCCGATGATGAAGTGGCCCCTGGGGCTATAGTTCCTTTTGAAGCTCTCCAACCCCCACCCCAATAGACTGATGTACTTTTGCTTTCTTTAGGGCTTCGGCCTATTTGCAAAATGTAATTTGTTTTCATTTTAATGAAGTTCAATCTTATCCTCTTTGACTTATGTTGTTCCCTTATTGTCGTACACTAATAATTTCTGACATTGAAGCAACTTGCTAACTTCTGAAATGTAACAACTCATAACAAATTTTGCATGGGACATGTAATCATGCTTTTTTCTCTGAACATTGGGGGTTCAACTAAGGAGTAGTTTGTCAATTGGCTCCATCATCCTTGGCTCCGAACTGGACTTACCAACATAGATATCAACCTTTGTCTCATCAGACCCACCTAGGTCTACTTCATAATTAATCACAATTAATCGGTGGTTCGATTGAAGGTTATACATCTTTTAATTAACACGCCTTTCCAGGGGTAATAAAAAGAAGAAATATTTTTCTTAAAGCTGAATTCTTTGTGTATTCTCAGATGTCTTTAAGTTGGAAAGATTTACCAATTCAGAGGTTGCTCTGAAATTTTCGAGGTTGCTTGGTCTGTGTAAAATGGGATCTAATCATCTCTGATGATGGTTGAGTGAACGTTCTATTCTCCCAGGACGAGGTTATGCTGAGATTGGTATTAGGTAGCGTCCTGACCTCCCAAGTCCAGGCATAAACATTCATGTCATGCATGGGATTTCAACACGTAATGTGGACCTTAAAAAGGGGGTCGGTAATACGTTATCGAGGAATTACCGAGGCTGAGTAAGTGGTTAGCCATACCGAAGCTAAGGTAAGCCTATTTTGAGTTTATACACACATTTATGCACATGATTTAATGGTTTAACGTGCTTTCAAGACAATAGCTATATTAGGACAATTTCCACAACACGCCTGGCCATTTTGCAATGAATGCCCAATGATGGCTGGAGATTGGGATGTGTGATGCGTTGATAAAAGGGGACTATTTGAATTCTACGGTTCAGATCTTTGGACAACTGTATGCTTGTGATTATCTTGGCTTTCATCCGACGGTTGGGACTTGTTCTCCTCTTTTATAAAAGTGAGAATTTTGCCATTTCAACACTTTACCTTTGTAAACGTTGTTGCGAATTTTCATAGTTCTCTAAGAGTGTTCTAGCAACTAGTTTGTTTTCGAACCTTACTTCTCCCCTGTGAATGGATTTATGGAGTATTTCATTGATATTGGATAGATGGCCCCCATGAAAGAGTATCCTCAACTTGATATGGCTACAATTCTCAATGCTACTTCTTGGAGATTCTCTTCCGAGACCTGGTGAAGATCAGAGCGTCCTGTTCAAGATGTAGTCGTGGGAGTAGATGGAGGAGTCTCCTAAGGAAATCAGTCAATAATAGATAAAGGCAAGGAAGTAGCTGAGGAGCCCCATAAGAAAAGGAAATTGGTCCATATCAACGAGTGTTCTGGTATTGTTGGGACCTCTACGTCCTCTGGGGGGGAAGGGGACTTCTAATCAACCGAAGCTGATGCAGGCTTCTATTGATGCTGTGATATAGGAATAGCTTTGGGAGGACGTTGATGAGTCTGAGGACACTACATCAGTGGCTGCGGAGGCCCCCAAGAAGGAGTTGGAGAGGACTTCAGGGAAATTTGGAAATTTCTTAGGGGGCGTGATAGTAAAATTGCCCAAACTATGATAGAGATGTTGCCTGCTGAGGTTCAAAGTGCCACTGAGGTGTTCAACAAATTCTGGACTGAAAGGTGGCAAGATTATATGGCCACCTGTGAGGCAGTGGATCTGACTTCCACTTTAGTGAGTCAGAGTACCATGTCTTTTGGAGTAGCCTTTGGAATGTCAAGGAGCCTTGGCCGATATCCAACATAGGAATAAGGCCATGTATGATAGGCTAAACGTCACTGAGGCTGAACTGAAGAGAGTTAGAGCAGAAGCTGATGAATTGAGGGCTCAGAAGGTTGAAGACGAAGTAAAGTTAGCCTCTGCCCTAGCTGAGATCGAAATTATGAAGAAGGAAGTCCATGAGTCCAAATGTGAAGTGGCCGCTTTGACGAAGAGGGTAGAGACTCCCGATGCTCATTAGAAACTTACTGCTGGGGCTCTAGAGCAGGCGAATGTTTAGCTGACTGCTAGCAGAAGAGCTCGAGACCGTGTGGAGGCACAAGTGGATTGGTATACTAACGAATGATTGTAATACATTGAAACCCAACCTTGCACTTTAAAACATAAAGCAAAGGTTGGTGAAAACGGCTACCTTAATGATCCATCATTCTAACTTCTCTTGATGAATGATGAGATTGAATCAGGTGATTATGTTTTTTTTATGTCTAGAGTGGTAAAATTTTCGGGTCAACGGGCTCATGGCCTCTACTGCATATACCATGGAAAACGGGGTTTCCCCCATGGCAGTTCAAATGGTGGTTCTGATAGCCCACAGAACCTGGGATAATTCATCCACCCAAGCCCCTTTCGAGGCGTCAAGTTTCATTTTTAGGGTATACTTGATAGTTTTGGTTACAGCCTCAACTTGTCCATTTGCCTAAGGGTGATGTCGAAAAGAGAAGTGTTTCTTGATGCCAAATTCCTCGCACATCTCCCTTAGTTTCTTGTTATCAAATTGCCTACCGTTGTCTGATACAATTGAATGAGAGATACCAAATCTGCAAATGAGGTTCTTCCAGACGAACTTGGAGGTGTTAGCCTCAGTTATCTTTGTTAGTAGTTCAGCTTCCACCCATTTTGTGAAATAATCGATATCAAAGGTCCGATTTGGTCAATCCCCCATTTTGCAAATGGCCAAAGACTGGAGACCACATTCAATTCTTGTGAAGACTGCTTCTGTATAGTGGCAAAACGTTGGCACTTGTCACATTTTTGTACGAACTGTTGCGCATCCTTTTTCAAAGTAGGCAAGTAGTACCCTTACCTACGTACTTTTTGTGCCAACGACCAACCTTCGGTGTGATTGCCATAGACGCCTTCATGGATTTCTCTGAGTACATAGTTTGCTTGTTCTTCTCCAATGTATCTCAGCAGGGGTAGCGAGTATCCGCGTTTATATAACACATTATCTTGGAGGATGAAGTGAGCAACCCTTCTCCGTAGCTTCTGAGCTTCTTCTTTCTGATGAGGTAGGACCTGATCCTTTAGATCGGATATGATAGGTTTCATCCAGAGAGGTGCACTCTCTATCCACATTACCGTTTCGCTGACTTCGATCCAAGGTCTAGCGAGATGCTCAATTGGAACCACAGTGAGTAGTTCTGAGTCTCTGCTACTTGTTAACTTTGCCAATGCGTCAGTGTGAGAGTTGTAGGACCTTGGAATTTGCATCAGTTCGAACCTTTCAAATGAAGGGATGAAGCTCATTACCAGCTTTAAGTAGCCATAGATTTGTCCCTGGTATAATAGTTTCCATGGACCTGGCTGACCACCAATTGGGAGTCACTGCTGATTATGAGCCTCTTTACTTGTAATTCCTTCGCCAGTTGGAGGCCAGCTAGAAGAGCCTCGTACTCATCTGTATTATTGGTTGCTTTAAAGCCGAACCTTACTGCACAAGTAAGTTTGTGCCCTTCTGGGCTGACCAATATGATTTCTGCCCCTGATCCAGTCTTTCCAGAAGATCCATAACTGATGTCAAACTCACTGAGCTCTACAGCCCATTTAAGCAGTCTTCCTGAAACGTCAGGCTTTTGAAGAACTTGTTTGAAGGGGGTAATTGGTTATCACATGTATGCTATTTGCCTGGAAATAGGGCCTTAGTTTCCTCGAGGCTATTATTAGGGAGAAGGCCAACTTTTTCCATGTCAAGATATTGTGTTTCAGCGGTGATGAGCACTTGCGACATAGTAAACTGGTAGCTGATGGTTGTTTTCTTTCCTTATCAGAATTGAGCTCACTGTCTCGGGGGTTACCGCCAAATATAAGTGCAATACCTCATGGTCTGTTGATTTGGAAAGAAGAGGCACCTGTCCTAGATGCTTCTTTAATTCCTGCAGGGCCACCTCACATTCTTCTGTCCATTAGAACTTGTTCTCCCTTGAGAACTTTGAATAAGGGGAGGCATTTGTCTGTCGCCTCAGATATAAAGTGATTTAGAGCTGTTGCCCTCCCAGTGAGGCTTTGAACTTCCTTTGGCTTTTGGGGTGACCTCATTTCAATCAAAGCTCTTACCTTTTCAAGGTTCGCTTCGATGCCTCTTTGATTAACTATGTATCCAAGGAACTTGCCAGATGATACCCCAAAAGTGCACTTTAAAGAATTGAGCTTCATTCGATACTTTCGTAGGATCTGAAAAGCCTAATCCAGGTGGGCAACGTGGTCCGTTGATTTTTGCCTTTTCACCAGCGTGTCGTCCACATACACTTCCATGGA